TTTGGAATAGTCGATAGGTGTTTTTTGTCAATTTGGTCTTACTCCAACAAATTGTCGCTGCTAGAAATAATTTCACTCATTAAACGAGTCATTGGCTGCGCTAAAGCATTGTTCGAAAATATTCTGTTGCACTTTTTTAATAATTTTCGACGTTTTCTTATATATGTATATATATATATATATATATATATATATATATATATATATATATATATATATATATATATATATATATATATATATATATATATATATATATATATATATATATATATATATATATATATATATATATATATATATCAAACATAAAAAGAAAACAAAAATTTAAAACTCTTGAAACATTGACTCGAACTGGACTGGAAAAAATTTTGCAAAATTTGTCCAAAAAAAAAAAAAACTTTTTTGCTTTTTTTGCGCATAAATATTTTTTTCCTAAATCTTTTTTTAATTTAAACAACAATTATGAAAAAACCTGGAATACACAACAATCTAAAAATATATATATAGGTCATTATCACATTAGAAAATTTTTTTTTCATGTACCTTGCTTCCCCGCATTTTGATATACGCTTTCTTTAGTACCCTCCACCTCAATAAAAAAACCTACGCTTTTAATCTACCTACCTAACATTGTATGATGTTTTTTTTAATTTAGTCTTATCTTAATTTTATCACTTTTATAATTCACCCCTGCTTATCGCCTTATTTACGTCATTTGCAGACTCCATCTAACGCATCCGAGCGTACGTGCTTTACGGACGATCTCTTAATGTAGTAGACCAGAATGGAGGGGGCAGGTAGAATTTAAGCGCATTGAGCCACATATAAAAAAGTAATGGAAACGGGTGATCTTAAGTTAAAAGCGCTAAATAATGCTAAAAAATGGGAGAATAAAAAACTCAAAAACCAGAATAGTTATTTGGAAAATGTGTAAACGACATGGCAAAATTAGAGCTTAAAAATGCCTAACTTAGAAAATATATTTGAAAAAAGGACAAATTGATGCGAACAAATAAACATAATGAGACAACAATTCACAATCAATACAGAAAAAATGTAGAAAAAATTGATAAACAAAATCAAAGTAACAAATAACCAAAATAAAAACGGTATATAAACAACCAACAGGCAATTGAACTTATTTAGTTATATTACCTAAACATATAATTGGTATACATATAATAAAAGATACATGGTAAAATGGAAGCACTAAAAATATGTTAAACATAAAAACATAAAAACTAAGAAATAATGAAGAAGTTACTTTTCATCTTGGGTATATCGAACACTAAAGCGGCGTGAATGCTGCGTATGTACGAATAACCAGTTAATACGAAATATATAAGATAATATAAGGTGATAAAAAAAAAACGAGGTAGTTAGTTTTAACTTGGAAAACGTGGATGGTGATTAATTTCTAATTCGAAAACGTGCAAAGTAAAAAAACCCGGTGAATAATGTATAATGTTTAATCTAATGAGAGTTGTATTATTATTTAAGCCAGAATGATTGTAGTTATATAGCAAACTAGGAAAAAACCGGATCCGCTCCGTTTATACTTTTTATTGCATTTTTGCCAAAAGTTTCAAGTTAAATTGTTTAAAGTTTATTCGAGTAAATTTCCTAATACAAAATTGTTATGTATTTACATTTAAGTCAATATTTATTAATGAATAAATTTGATTTAAAACGAATCGACTGATTTAAATAGGGAAAAGCGCAAAGATTGTCCATACATCGATTGACTAAAATAGGTACAGGCGCAATGGACTGTTTATACATCAACTGTGTATTGTTTCATGTACCTCAAAATAATGTTTTCTACTGCAGTGAAGTCTAAGTTATAATCAAAAAAGTTGTAAAGAAAACTTAATAATAAAAATGTTTTTATATGCCGTTTACGGATATATCAACGATTTACTTCGTTAGTAAGATTTAAAAGGTTTCTTTTTAAATCGAACCCACTAGCAATCTAATTTAGTTATTTTATAATAATATGAATTTATATTGAAACCTATAATTTAATAAAAAATTAAATAATTCTTTTTTAATTAGATTAGATTGCTTGTGAGTTTTATTTATAAAAAGATTGTTTTTTAAACTTTTAATAGCTTTTGACCAAATAGCTTTTGACCAAATAA